AATAGCCTACTATGCTTATAAATAATGAAAAGTAATTTTATTCAAAGGATTACCTTTAGATATAATATAAACAGTACAACAAAATTGAAAACAAAGTTACATTTTAGTACTTAGAAACACAAACTAAATACTCTTGGTACATTTTAAATGTGTACCAGTAAATATTTGGCTTTGTCAGTAAATAATTAAGAAAATATAAAAAAATAAGCCCTTAGATGTAAACACACACTTACAGACACACAAATAATACGTTAACAATTTTAAATGGAAACCTGCAAACTGATCACAAGACATTTCTTCAGGAAGAAAGAGCTGACTTCTCCAGTGTCATCTGAAAATTTAACTTCAGATTGCTTCTAATATTACATTTTTTATGTATTGATAGTAAGCCAAACTAAGTTCTGGCCCTCCAGGCTGTGACTGCAGTACAGCTTTTCAGAATGCTTTTCTCCCTCTACCCTCTCTTCATATGAGGCTGACTGGATTAACAGCTTACAGACACAGTGGGAAAGCTACAATTTGCTGAAAAAGAAGTGGCATGTACAGATTTAATGGTGTTTGAACCAATTTTTGTAAATTGATATGGGATCCATAAGAAGATCCACAGAAGCATAACAAGTACAAGCAAGCCAAAATACAGTAGACATACACATGGAAAAAGAATATGAGAAACCAGATCCAGACCTTCAGAAATCAGTAGTCACACATAATAAAAGAGTCTCACTTGCACTCAGTCCTCAGATCATATAGTTTTTCAGCCTGTGCAAAGTAAGGCTATTACCTCTTTGGGGGTAGTGCTATTTGATAGATGGCTCACACATTCTGAAAACTAGACCTTTTGGCTGCACCGGTGAATAAACTCATCTCTGTTTAAAATGGAAAATTCCCTATTTATTCAGAGATACTTCACTATATCTCCAGTCAGTCCTCTTTCCAATCTGTTTCATGGTGTCACTTATACAGGAGCGCAGCATTTACTATTCTTCAGAGTGTACATCTTTTACCTGGCATACCTGGCTGTTACCAGAGTGGTCAACGTGTTGCGGTCAAGATGCAGTGACTAGTCATCTCCGTGGACTTGAATCCTGTGGCTGGCCACAGAAAAAAATATTTTAGGGTGGATTTCTCTACAGTTTAAAGGTGGCTAGGCTGGTATACACTGACCATGAATCAGTCTTTATCTGGTTGCCTCTTAACTTCCCGGGTGCAGGCAATTTCACCTGTCAAAATAGGGACACTGGGTGTGTCTACTACACTTCAATGCTTATTAGTTTATTTTAATGAGCTCTAAAGTGTTACAAAAAACTGTGCACTTTCACTAATGCACATTAAAATAAACAAATTCACTTTTTTCTAGTACCTCACAATGGAGGTACTAAATTGAATGTGTGTTACCAAAAGTGCATTAATGAATGTGTAGATGCTCCCACTGTGGCTTCATGCGCTCATGTTTGTACAAGGGCTTAGAGTTCTGCAGGCTGATGGCACTCATCACACCCAAAATACAATTATAGCTTTAAACAAGCTTTTCAAAATGTACATATGTTGTTGCAGGTAAACTTGTATTTCCAATGTTGTCAATGCTTCCTAAAAATACCAGGGCCTTTTACAATTTTGTCTTCCCTTCTGTATGTGGGGAAACATGCTGAAACATTTCAGTGGACATTTGGATTTATAAACATTTGTTTTCCCCTCCTGATCTCTTATGCGTATTTTAAGAGAACACCTTGTTCTAGCTTCTCTCATTCCCTTAGCGGCAGTTCATTTTCACTTCTAGGGGTAGTGCTACATTCTCAATCAATTTTGGGGACTTTCTGGATTGCACAACACATTCTATTCATTTCCATCTCTAGGAAAAAGCACCTCTAGGATGTCCCGGAGGCTTGAGTCAGGCCCGTTTCCAGCTATTTTGGCAGGATCATTTTGGTTTTCAAGTATCTGTTTTCTTGGAACCAGGATCTTCTCACATGTTGCACCACATTTCTCTCTATTTTCCCATTTTAGCTTTAGCTTTCTTCATGCTTTAGCTATGCTTCTTCTGCATGATGCTACTGATCGGTTACTGATTCAGGAATTCCAGTTCCTAAATCCTACTGGTTCCCCTCCCGCTTCCTTCTCCCCTTTAAGTAAGGCAGGTCTCCCTGCTAGGCACCAAAGGACAAAAGAAATTAGGCCAGACCCCGTAGTGGCACAAACTACACTCTCTTTTTCTGTGCGTTGTGTTTTCCCATCAGGCCACTTCCATGTAAGGTGGTACTTTCAGGGGCAATGAGATAGATGGGATTCTGGGAGGGCATCCTTACCATATGCATCTCCTCTCATCCATCAGTTGCCCTGTGAAGAGACATGATTTCCATAGAAAGGCCACTGCATTGTTATTTGTATGCATTTCCATTTTTATTTTTATCCTGTTTCTCCTCTGAACATGATTCTTCTTCCCTGACTGCCTCCACTCTTTTTCCATTTGGCTTAGATTGCATCTGTGGTGGAGATGAATGAGTAAGATTCTTCCTTCCATATCTCAATTCCGCAATTATGTCATTGGGGATATGCACACCATTGGGAATGGTGCCTGCTAGGAAATGAGAAAAATGGTTAGGAAACTGCAGCTTGGGAACCAGTGAGGGGAGCTCAAGTACTGTTTTTGGTAGGTCCTACATTAATTATGGTTACTGGGTATTTGTTTTTTAATTTTGCCAGGGAGAGAGACTGAAAAACAGATGCTTGGGGCTGGATTAGTACCTGTGCTATGTTTAAGATGACACCAAGACCTTGAGGAGGAGGGAGAGAGAGAGAGGCAAACTCCTTTGGTAACTGCACAACATACATGTTTTCTGTGGCTGTGAATTGTGCTTAGATGTTCAAAGTAGGAAGAAAACGGAAATAATAAGGCTGATGGGAGTATTTCTGGGAACACATTTTGATGAAAATGGACTCAAGAAGGTTCGTGCAGATTTTTCCACGCTCTCTAAATTGCAACTAGGAATTCCTATAGGTGGCAGGAAATGAGCTAATCCACAGTAAAGAAGTGTAATGTAGGAGGAAGATGAGCAAGGTGAGGGGCTGTACCCCACGCTACCTGCTTGCTTCTGCTTTGCTGCCAAGACCTTTCCTGCCTTTTTCCATTCACCTGGCTCCCAGAGCAAGAGTTACTGCGCAAAAAGATTTGGTTTCCCTTCTTTGGGGTGCTTCATTTACAGTTGGGTTTGTGCAGGGTTCTGGTACAAGCCAGTGTAAATGTGGGTGAGCTGAAGGACAGGGATGTGCATAAATATAGGTGGCCACATATGTAGGAGCATCTCTGAGTACCTGGCTAGAGATGAATGCACATAGGCACAGTTCCAGTCAAGCACCCTTGTCCCTCACCATGCGTCTAGCACCCATGCTGAATTTCACAGGCTTAGACCTGCAGGCTGGTGCATACTGAGGGGGCATGGGCTCGGCTGGGTGTCTGCTGCCTGTCTGCATTTGCAAGCCAAGTCAGTGGCTTTTTTACAGGTTTTGCATGGACTATGTCCTCTGCGAGAGACTGGTTGTGAATGGAGCTGCACACGGTGTGAGCACTTGTGTGTGAGACAGAGATCTGGGAATGTGCGTCTAGGAGAGATCTAGGTCAGAGTGTGTGAGAGATCCGGGCACGTGTGTGAAAGATATCTGGTGGGGGGAGGTCTGGGCGTGTGTGTGTGTGAGAGAGAGAGATCTGGGCACGTGTGTGAAAGAGATATCTGGGGGGAGGTTTGGGCACGAGGGGCCGGGGTGAACGAGAAGCGCAGAGGCCGCTTTGATTGACGCCCCTCCTGCTGCCGCCGCGCTGCTCAGCCCGGAGCCGCCTGCCAGCTCGGCTCGCCGAGGCCGGGGAGCCAGGAGGAAAGCAACTGGCTGCAGCTGAGCGGCGTGTGTCCAGCTCCCCGCTCCGAGCAGGGGGAGGGGAGCGGGAGTCAAGGCCCCGGGAGGGGCAGGGGAGCCCGGCGCGGCGCACTGCGGCGCCGGGGAAAGTTGCAGGGGAGACAAGCGCGCGGAGCCGTCGCGCGGGGGAAGCGCCGAGCGCGGCCGGAGCCCCCGTCCCGTCCCGACCCGACCCGACCCGACCCGACGTGCCC